TTGGCGCCCCGTGCACTCAGGTGACGAAGCTGCCCGAGGGGCTCTACAACAAAAGTCTTTCTCCCTAAAGACGGACACGGGTGAGGAACTGTTTGCCAGGATTCCGCACCCGAATGCTAGAATCCGCACGAGAGTTGATTGCCAGTGAAGTTGCCACCCTTGATTTTGTACGTTGTGTTTTTACCTTTCTACGTCCCAATATTCTGTTCTGCTGACATTCTAGCTTCGCAATGTCCTTGGTATTCCTGTCCCTGAGGTAGTTGCGTGGAGCTCGCCCATCATTTCCTAACCTTGTGGGCACTGAAGACATTCTCATGAAGAGGGATAATCGGTCATCAGCTCAGTGATGTTTGGAATGACATGTCCCAGGCCCAGCGCTTTGGGCTGGTGAGGAGCCTGGTTGCCATTGAAGCCAAATTAGTTGAAACAGAGATGCCAGGCTACGGAAGCCTTTATTATAGAGATGATCTTCAACTGACAGACCGTTCTGGGTTGATGGGCGAGGGGCATTAGATTTGGATTGCGGTCCATGTACGTCTCTCACCTCCGTAATCAATGAAATAGCTAACTTGGATGTAGGGGCATCTGCAGCAGAGTACTTTTCTGCAATCGCAAAGCGTGAGGTGGAATGCATTCGCACCGCTGCGCAAAATGAACCCGGCCTCATGGATTTTGGAGGAAAGGATACAGCGCGCGAAATCCATATCAATCTTCTCAACTAGTTCCTCGCCATTTTACCGTACATTCTTCCTTCCCAATACTTTTGCAGCCCAACTTTGTTGCATCGAGATCTTCATCTAGAGAACATCTTCGTTGACAGCGCCGACCCAACCAAGATATCAGGCATAATCGACTGGCAGTCAACCTATTCCGCTCCGCTCTTCATGCAAGCGAGATTCCCCTCAGTTTTCGACTGTGACGACCCTTACCCTTGGGGCGCGGTCTATCCTGAACTACCAGACGATTTCGCCGACATGCCTGAGGATGCAAAAGTAGAAGCACAGGAGCAGCTCAACAGAGTCCGCCTCAAAAAATTCTACGAGATGGCGTCACGCAAGTTCAACCCGGCAATCCCTCGCGCCATGGACGCATTCCTCAATGAAAATGATGATCCAGTCTCCTTCATTTTCCCTCTTCTTGATCAGACAGCCGTTGATGGCCCGATACCACTGCAGGAACTACTTATCCGGAGATTTGAGCGGTGGGATGAGATGTGTGAGAGGCAGGGGGGTGGATGCATGATTCCGTGCCCGATTAACTATTCGTCGGGAGATATTTCAAGATTCCGAGCGGTAGTTGAGGAATATGCAGTGGCTCATGGCAAGTTTACCAGCCTTCTGGCACAGGTTGGAGGAGGGAAGGATGGGTGGGTGTCGAATGAGGAGTTTGAGAAGGCCATGCACTTGTTTAACCAGCATAGTGGTGAGCTGAAGCGGGTTCGGAAGAGGGTCGACGATATCTTGGCTGTTCTTTGACCAATCCTCATATAAAATAAAAGAATTCTGTTGCATATAATCATGCTTGCCATCAGATTATCCGCGTTTCTCTAGCACGGGAAATTCTGAATAACGAGATACTGTGTGACCATGTACGATTCGGAGTGTCCCATCTCTCCAAATATGATATGCTGAGAAATAGAAAATAGACACGCAAATAATAGCTATTATAGAATTGTTCAAACCATATACACCATAACCCCCCTTTAGTGCGTCTACAAGCGACCCATATCAAGAAATGCACAGGAAAAGAGATCCGTTGAGTTGATATAGCACGACACTTTCCAGGTATGTGCCCCTATCTCCCGGTGATATCGCGCCTTCATCTGACAAATATCTCGATGGCAATGGCGCAGGCGTGGTTATTTTCACATCCGGAACGACCGGCCCTCCGAAGTGAGCAGTGATGATGAGAGCATATCTCCCACGACACCCTCACGAGCAGTCGCTGACCTTTTTTGGGCCCTTTTCGACGAGGTCGCCAACAGCCAAGGCCCCATGATGCAGATGGCCTTTATAACACCTGGTTGATATTGCCCGCTGCTAAGGAGGGCAACTTATTTTATCCTCCGGCTCGCTTCTATTGACATCTATTAAATGGGCGGGCTATAAAATCCTCCGCCCTTCGATATTTGAAACGCGAAATTC